TTATACCTAGTCTATTAATTACAGTTTCCAATATTCACAGCCACTTTTGGTTAGATTTTGTACAAATTTTATTTTCTATTTTATGGTACGATGAGGTATATTTGGTTTGTATATAAACCTAGTATACTTGAAATACATGAATCATAATGCGGAGGCTGAGATTTGTGTTCTGGACTCAACAGACCAAAAGAAGGACCGTTAAGGATTCTAGACTGCTGGAACAAGTTTTATGCGTCATTAGTCCGGTCGATAATTCACTGTTGTCTAATTGGCAGTATCATTACGTTATATATTAAAAGGTCACAAAATTGAATGAAAATAAAATAAAGGCGATTATGTCAATGAATGAGTTATGTTTAATCTTACAATTAAGTAACAAAGTGAAAAGAGTTAAGTCATCATCTATTTTTATGTGAATTATGTTACTTTTGATAATGTGGAAGATTTCCTTGTGCAAAACGATAATCACATTGATGTCAATTCACATCCTGATCGACATAAATTAATTAAGATCAAGAAATGAAGTTAAAGAATATTAAAGTGATATAAAATTAAATAAACAGACAAAAAATGATAATGATGGATAGTGGCTAGCAGTGGAATCCAGGACAAAGTGCGTTCCGTCCTATTTGGGGTTCGTCAACTGGATGTACCTGCATCTCAGAGTTGATGTTCACTCTGGGACTCCAACCCAGTATCATTCGCTTCAAGCGCCATCGCGTTATCCACTCAGCTACTGAGTCCTGATAGCCACTTGCTTGTGCAATGGGGTGAATTTAAATTCACTTGGTATTGTTTGGCTTGTATCTTCCCATTGAGGTTTAAGACTGCAATTGATCAGTCTGTGGACATCAACTCTGAGATGCAGGTACATCCAGCTGACGAGTACCAAATAAAATGAAACGCGCGTCCTGGATTCCACTACCAGCCACCATCCATCACTGCTTACAAAAAGCTTGCGAATTAAGACAATATCGAGGCATACGCACAGTATACACATATGCCAATAAGAGACTGGTCAATTACAGTCTTAAACTTCAATGGGAAGATTTAAGTAAAACAATACCAAGTGAAAAATTGATAATGATAGAAAGGAGAATCATACGCACGCACACACGCACACACACATATCACACCAGATATTCTCTAGTGTGTAAATGTTTTATTTAGTTGCATAAATTCCAGTTTCCTTCCCTGTATTTTTTTATATATAAAAATTAAACTAAGTACTAATGAACCCAATTTCTGTTAAACGGGTAAACTCTAAATAGATCAAATGTTTGGTTAATTTACTTACCACCCCTAAACAGTTACTTTCACGATCAACAAATGATTCCTTAACGGTACTTCAAACAATTCTGTTTCTATAGTAAACCTTTGTTTTTCTTTCTCTTTTAATCTAACCGTTTGAAGATAGTGTTTTTGTGTTATTCATAAATATTGTAAAATAAGAACTAGTGTTCAGGTAAGACATTGTTTTTGTTATGAAATAAAAATTTAGAAAATTCAGTTTAGAAACTTTTCTTTTTAACTAAATCACTTACTTAGGGTGTAAAACTCTATTAATAACTAGACGATAAATATATATGGGTATATAAGAGAATAAAAATAAATTATACAATAAACTGATCCAAAATTTCAAATGTCAAATGAATGTTTAGTGATAATCTAGAGGTTATATGAGAATAGGTGAGGGGTGAGAATAATTTATTGGTTAAAAATATGCAAAACTAATGTTAGTTTTACAAAACTAAAGAATAAATAAAAATCGTAGAGGCTATAATAACAATTGTCCCTACTAGTAACTAAGTTATGAGCGGAAATTTTCCGAGTTTTAATGGAAAATTGTAAACACTGGAGTATAACCATGTCGAGTGTGAAGCAATTACCCACTAAAGACAATTGAAGATGGTTGATTGAGGTTAAACACTAAAATCACTGGATATTGGCTTAGTGGTGTAGAGCTTGCGCGTTTGTGCACAAGATTAGCGGTCTTGGGTTCACTCGTTTGTGACGAAGCCATGGATGTGCACTTCTGAATAATCCAAAACTAGGAAAAAACAGCCGTTTGGTGCTTTCAGGTTTACAATGGTTGATCAACTTAAATGGGTTCAGGATTCTAATGAAACTGAATTATAAACATAAAAAGTTGTTAAAGGATAATAATAACGTATTACAGTTTGAAAAATAGTATCTTTAAAAAATAATAGTATTTTGCAACACTTGCACACGGAAAGATGAATTTAAATTTTATACAGAAGTGGAAATAACAACTCACACTTACTGAATAAGGTATAGGAGAATATATCTTTAGACCAAAGACAAGAGACTGATCAATTGCAGTGCTAAACATCAATGGGAAGATTCAAATAAACAATGCCAAGTGAATTTGAACTTCACTCCATTGCACAAGAAAGTGGTTATCAGGATTCAGTAGCTAAGTGGATAACGCGATGGTGTTTGGGTTGGATTCTCAGAGTGAACACCAACTCTGAGATAAAAGTATACCCAGCTGACGAATCCTAAATAGGACGAAACGGGCGTTCCGTACTCTACTGCTAGCCACTATCCATCTTTGTTTATATGCAGTGACATACCTTTTTCGTTTTAACGAAATGATATATAATTCGGGTGAAATAGCGTAAAAAATGGACATATATAAAAATATAAGCCATATGTTCAGAAAAGGTTTTTTATTTGAAATATAGATTAAGCCATTTCATTATTTAGATAATGAACATTTTTCAGTATGTTTCTTGTTCAGTTAAAAAATAGTGTACATCTGTAGTGCTGTATAAAAATTTCTATAATCTATAACCAGATTGATGGTATACTGAAACAGAAAAGGCTATACTCCAGTACTTTAGAGTACCAATGACCTTCTAGTATTTTCGGTAATATTACCATCATTACAATCACTTTATGGATTCTTTATGTAATTTGGAAGACGTTTAATCCAGTGTGAAGATAAAAGAGACAAAATTTTAAATACATTTATTTGATCTGTTATGGCTTATATCTACCCGTTGTTGATGTTATGAACTGCAGTTAATCAGTGTCTTTTGGTATATTTTTTATCCAGAAAGGACTGTCTCGATATTATCATTAAGCCAGAAGATTTAATTATCGTTAAAACTGTAGCAGTACTGAGGTCAGGGAGGTCTATTTCATAGAATTCAAAGTGCAACTTCATTTTAGTGTTGATTTCTGTACTTTAATTGTTCAATTTCAGTCTATGAAATCGATAACGGTCAGATTAAAACCAACTTCAATTAACAATCCAGTGGTATTTGTACTTAAAAATTCAATGAGTAATGCATTGGATATTAGAGTTCTTGTGTGAGTGTCAACACAAAAATATGAATACATTCAGAAGGCGAGCTCGAAGTAGGACGAATCGCACTTCTTAGACCTCACTAATGAAAAATATTCCAGCTTTAATTAAAACTTCTGGTGTACCTGATTGAAAAACAAGAGACTATATTAAATACATTGTTTTCTCTCGTATTAATCACTATTGATCAAATATCTTATTAAACCAATAGTCTCAAATATGTTGAAACTGTTAAGCAACCCTTTCAAATATATTTGGAGCAAATACTTTCTGTATGACATGAAAACACAGCTGAAATATATTGAGTGGTAGATAATGCAAATATTAAATACCGGAAACTATACACATGTACATTACCATGAATACAAGTTCTATTTTACATAAAGATTAAATAAATGATGGTAAGGTTAATTCTGTACCTTAATCGACTTAAAAGAACACAACTGAATCCGACATCTTAAGTCACGTTCGAGAAAGTATCCTTCAGTTGTCGAGTACTGTTCACAGATCGCGTTGTAATGCCTTCAGACAATAGTTCTATACCTTAATATTTTTCCTGAGAACAAATGGAGAGGAAACTTAAATTGATCAATAATCTATTGTGATATATCAGTGTTCACGTTGCTGTTACAAAATCCAAGTTTATGAAAAAATGCATTATATGTTAATATTTTTTATTGTAAACTTTCTACATTAATTAACACAACTATCAAATTGTTTTCTCTGAAATGTTTATATATATAGATTTAATTCAAGAAGTATACAGGATATGGTGTTTGCTTCAATAGAGTTAATTAATTCTAAAGTTGAATAATTTTATTAAGCAAATTATTAATTTAATGACCTCTTTATGCAACATATTACAAAATGGGAGTATAGCTTACATTAGATTCCGTCGGACAATTATTAGTGAATAAATAGTTGAAGTCATGAGTCGTTTAGAGCTAGACCACCATGGAAAACTTGAAAGTACTGGACGGCCGTTTCGTCCTATTATAGGACTCCTCAGCAGTGCCCACCCGCAGGATCCGAACCCAGGACCTGTCGGCATTTAACTGTGTTAATATCTAAATTTAACCAATCCATGAAATTGCGCCGCCGTCCACCATTGTCTTCAATGAGTTGTTATCTCATAACAGACCCGGTTGGACTACATTGGTCACTGCTTCCCAGCAGAACTTCATCAAATACCTCTTGGAGACAGTGCTTCTAGTGCCGCCTGGTTTTCCATAGTGATCTAGCTCTAGATGACTCATGAATTCAACCATTAAATTACTATAATATTTACAAAACCCCTTTCTGATTATAAATATTAGTGAGTGATTTTCAATTTTATGCTGATATTGTTCTAGGAATACAGAAACAGTTGATTTAAATTCTGTTAACATCACAGATTAACATCAGTTAAAAGATGTTAAATGAGAATAAACAGCACTGAATAACTGTTTCTTCCTTGTCTGAAATTTCTCAACAGTTTCTATATCGACAATTTATAAATGTCAAAACCAGTTAGTACATGGTTTATGGATAAAGTTATTTCAGAATTTATTATTCAAATATATTACCGGTCTAATATAATATTTAAAATACATTCATTTCAATTATATATATTGAACCATTTTTGAATTGTTTATTCTGATCTTCTTTATAATTCTTTTACAAACAGAAATCAATCCTGATCGTGAAAGCAATTCACCGAGTATTGGTAAGTGAACATTGGTTCTCCGTACTTGGCTTTTGTTAGTTGTTAGTTTTACAAACAAACATATATTCCTTGTACATTAACTTAATTAAGAATTTCACATATTTATCTGCTAAGTATTATATATTAATCAGTAAATTGACTAGTTTGTATTGAGATTATAAAAATATGAGATGTATTCAACTTTACCGTAATAAATAATACTCTAACTGGGCTATCTCTGCAATTGTCAGTGGTCCTAATAAGGCAGATTTTCCCATTTAGTTTTCAAATACCAATGTCTAACGTTGTTCAGTGAATCAAATTTTTTCGCTTTTGAATAGCTGTCGAGTGGAGTAAAGGTTTATATAGTTCACCGTCTGACTTACTTACGCCTGTTACTCTCGATGGAGCATAAGCCACCGACCAACATTCTCCAACCCACTCTGTTCCGAGCCTTGCTTTCTAGTTCTATTCAACCGCTGTTCATTCTTCTCATATCTGTCTCCATTTTTTGGCGATGAATTATATATCAAAGTGGGCAGCGAATAGATATTTCGAGGAATAAAACCATAGATTATTAAGATCAATATTATGTATAGTTTAGATTTGCAGTGCTCCAAATTGCCTGAAATCAAAAAGTTTGAATTAGTGGATTCTCTACAGGACGTTGCGTACATTGCTTAGCAGAAACCTACCACGTTTTTTATCGATTGAAAATTGTAACAAAACGTTGATGACATTTGTCTGAATCTTAACAAATATTCAGCTAAATAATGTGTCTTGTTCCGCAACCTCAGATTGATAATAAATCAACGTCTTGACGAAACCAGTAGACTTTCGTTCAATGTATCTAAACAATCTAGACATTGAGAAGATACCTTAGAAACTCACATTTCCTAGCCTTACGTATGACTGGGAGTAAAATATTCTTATACCAGTGGTAAATAATTACTGGGTTTGTTGTGTATGCATGTTACAATTTCAATGCTATTAATGTTAACAAAATTTTAGGTAATTACAATATAAATACACAAAACACTTTCCTTGTGAACACCAACCGCAACTATTATGATACTAATTACTGAACAATAGTGAAATAGTAAACAGTCTAATTAGTTATAACATTTCGAAGTCATTTACTGATCAAAGTAAAGTATGATGACTTATATCATGAACTGACCTCGGGAACCACTGCTTATCTTCAAGGCTCTCGTGAGAAGCCATAACCAGTGGAATTCAGTGAAGTAGAGTGTGAAGCAGTTACCCACCAATGACGTTTAAACATTTTTGCACAGTATCGCGATTTGATAGGAATTTATAATATATGCCATTGAGTGACTGCTCAATGGTTTAAAGATTAATCGATTGTCACATGACCTGAAGGTCTTGACATCAATTCCCTATGAGGTCGTCGAAGTGCATTGCTAAGGATTCCAAGAACACAATCAGATATCTTTAAATTGCTTGCTGGTCTTCAATGCTTATTTGGCTAAGGTCAATTCATAGTGTTAACTATGAAACTCAACAATCTCAATAAGTCACTTATACTAAAATATTATAAACTAACAATTCTTATATTCCAGATTGTTCTTTTCTTAATAATTATCATTCAATTGTAATAATAGATGAGACTCCTGAATGTCATTTATCTTAGCCTTTATTTTGATCCAACACTTTTTTAGTGACCAAAACACAGATTTCACGAGATTGAAAGCTTATAAAGGTTTTTTATATTTTATTTTGATTGTTATACAGATGTAGATGAAACTACATTATGATCTATATATCATTATGTATCCACCAATCATTAGATGTATCTGTGGAAACATCTTATCTATGACGATATATATGTTTTAGAAGAATAAATATAAGATAGGAAAACATAACAATATAGATATATTCTAAATGATTTTATCCTATACACGATTCCTGATAAGTTTTATTTAGATTAATCATTCTAATCACTTATAATAGTTTATTTTTTTTTAATATACAGAATAACTAGTTACATGTATATCTTTAGACATTTAAAAATAAACAGTGAGTATTACTTGTATCATATGATAGTTAATGTTTAACAGAACTGAAATTTTGACATTTTCATTTTCTGAGCTGGATGGTATATTTGTGAGGCTTTTATGTTTTTCTGAATAGTAACATCAATACAAACTTCATCAAAATCATCCATTTGAGATAAAAATCTCGGTAATCTTATAAAACTGTATATATATATTACGTGATTGAAATCCTGAGCCGATCTAAGTTTGACAACCTACGGAAATCTGAAAACACTGGACCGCTGTTTCATCGTATCATAGGACTCTTTATCAGTGAGCATTCTCGACCTCTCATATGGGAACCAGACATAGTAACTTTGGTCTAGCGAATGAACGCTTAATCTCTAGACTACTTAATTATTTATCTTATATTCAACGGAAATAGTGTTTTTAAAACCAAAGTCGACACAGAAATGTGTTAACAAACACATTGTTGTAAAAATAGAATTAACTATTTTTGCGAAAATGAATTTGTTGAAATTATCAAGTTTGAAGTTTATTAGAATTATGAATTGACCGTCATTATCAATGTTAAGTGTCTTCTTAAAGGATTTGTACAAATCTTATATTCAGGTTATTTATATGTTCATTCATGACCAACTTTCAGAAGAATCCTTAACGTCCATAAGAGAAAACATGACTAGTTAAATACAATCATTTTTTGTATAGCGCAGTTAATAATAAATATTAATTGTTTGATTTCGTGTATTGAATAAGTATTTTAAGGTATATGTATATCGAAAGCTCAAAATGTTAGCAAACTAATACCAACTTAGTGGTCCAAATGAGGCATGCATCCACTCAGTTATTGATGTTTTAATAAAAGACCATCACTGCAACATACAATGCCATCTTTTTAATGAACCGTCGTTTTCGATAATAGCTTAATGAACGAGAACACAAGTGGCGACAATCGAATGTAATCGAATACAAAACTACAAAACATCTTAGTAAAATCTGAGAACCATACAATAAATTCTTTATTCGCAAAATGTCAATCAGTTGTCTCAAACTTAACTGTTCATTTCGCAGATATCAGTTACTCGTCTCAGACCTCTCTTTTCAGTCATTTCCACAGAAATCATTCTTTGTTCTCGTTCTCTTTTATTGGTCTTCTCAACCTTCTTCCTTTAGGCGCTTCACTTTCGATTGATAATACATACCACTTATATCTATTGACATCAGTAGCACACACTACAGTAGTCAGAGTCAGTATGTTAAGTAATTACTATGATTAACTTAGAAGTATATTTGCAGTAAATATTATCATCACTTGGAACAAAATTACGAAATAACCTTTTAATACGACTTGAACTTCTTATGAACTATTTCAAATATTTTATCTCATAAGTTTATTTTATTTATAAGCATTACACATTTTTATTTTAAAAAAATAAGAAATATAACTTTTATTAAAATATAAGTCTGTGTGTATTGTGAGCTACTGATGTCGATAGATATAAGTAGTATGTATCATCAATTGAAAGTGAAATACCTGGCAACACGAGATTAAGAAGATCAAAGAAAAGAGAACACGAACAGTAAATCATTGTCGTGGAAATGAAGGAACAGTGATATCTGAGACCATTGATTGACATTTGTAAAAGGAACAGTCACGTATGAGATAATTGAATGACATTTGGCAAATTATCTATTTACTGTATAGTAATCAGATATTCTGCAATATTTTTATTCAAATACATTCTATTGTCACCAAATGTGTTCTCGTTCAATAAAAGTGTAATAATATTAAACGTTCTGTGAAAGTGTTTGTACTTTTAATATGTTGAGTATTTTGTTGTTGTTGATAAAAATGTACGTATTACATGAACTTAACAAAAGAAAACATATTCATAGTTATAAATCTCCACTGTTCTCACAATTGTTAGTTGACTAAAATAAACAAATAAAAACATAGAACCTGTCAATGTTATTTAATGTAACCAACAAATGAAAAACTATTAAATACATTATTATTGTTATTATTATATTAGATAGCTTGTTTACAATTGAATGCAATAAAATTAACTAGGTAGATCCTTATGAACACTCGACGATGTAATCATCCTTTTAGAAATATTTCATTCAATATAGTTTTCCATCCCCATGATATCTATTAGATTATTCGCTTTATAATGAATTGTACAGTAAGTATTACTCACCGTCATGTTTAAATTTAATTTAATCTTCGTACTGATATTTAGGACTGCAATTGATCAGTCTCTTGTTGGCATATGTGCATACTGTGCGTATTGCCTCAATATTTCCTTAATTCACAAGTATTATAAGTAAAGATGGATAGTAGCTAGCAGGGGAATCTGGTTTGATGCGCGTTTCGTCCTCACCGAACTCGTCAGCTGGATGTACTTGTATCTCAAAATTGATGTTTAGTCTGGGACTCGTACTCAGTACCGTTCGCTTCAAACTCGATCACGTTATCCGCAATACATACAGTATGTGCATATACCAATAAGAGACTGATAAACTGCAATGCTAAACATCAACGGGAAGATTTAAGTAAGCAATACAAAGTAAATTTAAAATTCACGCCATTGCACAAGCAAGTGGTTATCAGGACTCAGTAGCTAAGTGGATAACGCGATGGTGTTTGAAGCGAATGGTACTGGGTTGGAGTCCCAGGGTGAACATCAACACTGAGATACAAGTTTATCCAACTGACGAGTCTCAACTAGGATGAAACGCGCTCCTTGGATTCCACTGCTAGCCACTATCCATCTTTGCTTATAACACTGTCGTGTTTTTTTAGACCTTCAAGTGCTGATCAAATCTCATCCTCATACTTGTCATTAGTCGTTCCCCAAATATCTTTCTAGTAAGTTCTTAGTCTGTGACTCTGGGTATCACGAGATTGAATCCTACATGAAACATCAGTTCCCTAAATTTAAAGGTATAGCCGAAAAGTAACAAGAGAGCTAAATATATGGTTTTTTGTAGACTTCCTCCAACTATGCAACAGCTTTTCGTTTTACTGTTACAATGATAAAAACAATATTGTGTTTTTCTTGAAGAACATTTTTCTTGTTTAGTGGTTTTTAATTGATTTGATAAACAAACTTCTTCTGATTCCTGAACATATCTATTTAATAAAATCAACTAACACTAACTTATCAAATAATTTCTATTAGCTTCAGACATACCGATTCCAAAGACGAGACGTTTATCTTTACGCTCTAAGCGCAGTTTTGACTGTTCATTTGAATTATGGGATGAAAATTATTTCTCTACGGAACGGAAGGTAATTTTTTTTTTCTTATGAAAAAAATTAATCTCCGGAATATAAACATTTTTAAGAAATAAAACAGTCATAACTTGATAGTCTTCATGCTTCTACGTTAAACTGTTCCATGAAACCCATAGCAACAAGCATGACTTTTCTGAATTACATTAGAATACGTTTTAGTTGCATCAAAGGTGTGTCTCTATATGTTTCTTGCTGAATTTTAGTTCTCAGTTATTTGACTTGAAACCAGTGCTTTTCATTAGAAACTCTTTGACTTCAGTTGAGTAGACGCTCTCTCAAAATAAGAGATTGCTGATAATAGGCTGTCATTATTGTCAACAAAATGTACATCAAAGTGTTTGTACACAGATTTCAACATCAATAATTTCAGTGCACTAGTTTAACAAAAAGAAAGCCCATAGTCCTTTATCGGTTAGTACCCTTTGAAGAATTGGTGCCTATAATAATCAATGTTCTAATGAATTTACACCTGGCGACATTTTACTGTGGACATTCGGGAAATATGACTTGCGTCTCATGAAATCCGCATATTTATTTCCACTATCATGTATAGTGAACATTATGCGTTTATCAGTGTTACTCAATCTATATTACATTCATCTTTATGATATTGTCAGAATCACGAGAAATAACTAACATCACGTACTTTCAAATTCCAAATTTTTCTTCATAACGAAAAATAAATTATTGTGACTGGATGAGTTTGATACATTGAAAATGTGTCTCAAAGATAACGTTTTGACGATGATTCCATTTCTCAATAAAGATTACCATTTGTGATACATACATATTATTATTATTATTTGATGCTTGGCAACAAAGAAAAGTGACTAATTACCTTCACACTCTTTCATATAAAGCTTAACTAATCCACATTATTATTATTATCAGCAGTTCATTTCAGTAGTTAAAGTAAACATCTTGAAAAAAATTATCAGATATCGTTTTAGGTTATTAAGTTTTTTTAACTATAATATTACATATTTTAGGTATCTCAACTTGAAGGTGTTCATTATGCAGCTTTCAATGTAAATAAAGAAAAAAGAGAAAGTTCACCTGAACTAGTCAATTTAATCGAAGATCAACAAGTAACTTGTTTAGATGCAGATAATCCAGATAATTGGGTTGTACGTGTTCATCCATTTTTACAAAACGCTAGTAGTTTCAATAAACAAACTAAAAAGGATAATACACTTACCGATTCACAAACTATAGATGAAAATGATACTAATAATTTAGTTGAAGTTATTGTATCAAATTCACAAGAATCTCAAAGAACCTGTGAAGAAATTAAAAAGATTGGTCGTGCTAAAGCTGTTTGTTTAACACGAAATTTAAAAAGTGCACAACGTGGAAAAAGAAATCCAAGAGAATCTTTCAGAGAAGATGTTATTAGTTTCTCAAATAAACAACAAGAATCTCGAATGAAACTAAGGTAAAAAGATTTTAAAATTTTATTTTTGCATTGATATAAACTGTTTATCATAACTTACATCAGAAATGTACAAAATATTATAGAAATTAACATAAGAATACATAGAGGTGTGTGTGAACGGTGCACGCGTGAACTCGAGGAAGCTCTAAGAAGCTCAGAAAGAGCCGAAGATATTCCATCCAATCAGCTTTTGGAAGAATATACCAGTGTAGCTTTCCTTTTGGAAAAATGCTAAGAATTCCTTGTATGAGGATTAAAGGACTATAATGATAAGTTTGTTTTTACTAAAACCTATAAATACCTGACATTTTTGTACCATAATTGACACTGTTTGGAATGGCATTCCTTTCACTTGTCTTCTGTCCTCGCATTTGGTGGGTTCTAGCATTCGAGTTGCTCAAGTTATACGCCGTATACAAAATGGACATAACTATGATGTTACGTACCAGCTTTCACTTTATAAAATAGAATAATTGAGTGTAATAATGCTTCAACCAATTTCAAAGATCTTAACTAATCTAATAATGTCACAATCGAGCACTAATATTTTAATATGTTTTACATTATCTCGCAGAGAATACCTAATATAACCGCCATATTTTATTAGTGTTTAAACTATTAAAAGCAAGCTCCTACTTTGGCTTTCTTGGTTACACATCCGTTTTTCACGTTTGTGTTGATACAAAAAATAGAACTGTAATGTTAAATTACTGTACAATTTCACAGTAAATTTAATTAGCTTAACTACTTGAAAATGTGGATTTTAATAATGCAATTTTATTATTTCATCTATGAATTTTAATATGTGAGTATCAATATTGAGATGTAGCAGGTACGGACGGCTGATGAGTTCGAGATAGAACGAAAAGCATGTTATGGATTCGATATATTGCCACTAATCGGCTTTGCTCTAAAACTCTTTTATCTTAACAGCATTATCTATTCAGTTACCTAAAAGGTTTACATATCCCAAAAACGGACTGACTACCTGTAATCCGTAACATCAACAACGGGAAGTTTTAAATATTTAGCAGAAAAAAATCTATTCATGTCACAAAATTGATCGAATTTTAAGTATTTTAATTCATTCGAGTCTGTTGTGAGATAGTAACTCACTGAAGACGGTAGCGCAGTTTCATTGGTTGGTTAAAGTTAGACATTAACACTGTTCGATACGGATCAGTGGTCTACAGGTTAAGCGCTTGCGCAAGACCGTTAGGTTTTGAGTTGGAATCTCGAGAGCGGGATAGTGGATGCGCACTGCTTAGGAGTTTCATACTAGGACGAAACGGCCATCCAGTGCTTCCAGATTTTCCGTGGTAGTCTAGCTTCAATTGACTCATGAAATCAACTAGTGAAATACATTTTTGTCATATCCCCAAAAAATTAGAAAAATTATATTTTCGAGATTTTTTTACTTTCTTCACAGTAAATAAATAACCGAAATAAATTAACACAATTTCAACTGTATTTATTATTAGCTTTTTATTCAATGCACAATTTTTTATAACTATCAAGTTCAACCTTGGCACAGATACCTATATATATATTACTAACAGTGAAGTAACTACTTCTATGAATTCGGTATTCATCTTGTTGTGCTAATGAGGTGTGGCAACTTGGACCGATGCATATATGTGCCTGGTTCTAACGTTGTGGCTGACTGACTTACTGACTGATTGATACCTATATCTTAATATATGTTTATATACTAATTCATTGTTTCTAGAAAATATGACTGTTAAATGGAATATGATGAGCTGACTTTAGAAATTTCTTGATTTTTCATGTTATTTAGTTTCATTCGTTTATTGTAATAACATTTTATCTTGTAGATAGTGTCAATCAAATTTTACAGTAAAACTAAATTGTTTCCACTAATATTTGATTTAACGAATGTAAATCATCGTGTATAAACAATAGGAAGATGAAATATACTGGTGTTTTTATTCATGATCAAGTCTTAAAACCCATAAAAATACATCTGAATTGACATTAACAGTCATATGGTGTTTAATAATCCTTTCTAGTAGGATGTTAGCTAATGAATTATGGGTTAGTTCTCGCTTAAAAAATGCAGCTTATAGAATTGATAGGACTTTTGTCCTGATTTGAGGTTGATCAGGAGAACACTCTTTTATATAGGAAAAAGAGAATTCAACGGAGAAAATTTACTTTTCGACGAAATCATTTGCTTGAGCCGTGCATTCGTATAGATAGTTATATGGAAAATATGTCTATAGGAGGGGGTTCGAATTAATATTTTATGCACTGCTGAGGCATTGGCGATCTATGAACTCAAGCCTGAACTTCGCGTGCAAAAGCGATTTGTAACCTCTCATCCTTCCTTGGCCCTAATTTCTTTAGTGGGTGTATCTTTTTTTTCTGCTTGTTTTTCTACACTTCCATTTGGTTATAATTGAATTTTTTAATTTACTGTTTTGCATTTTAAACTCTAATCAGTTATGTTTAAGCAAAGGTGGATAGTGGCTAGCAGTGGAATCCAGGACAAAGCGAGTTTCGTCCTATTCGGGACTCGTCAGCTGGATGTACCTGCATTCCAGAGTTGATCTTCATTGTGGGATTCGAACCCCCTACCATTCACTTCAAGAGCCATCGTATTATCCACTTAGCTACTGAGTGCTGATAGCCATCTGCTTGTGCAATGGGGTGAAGTTTAAATTCACTTGGTGTTGTTTACTTGTATCTTCCCATTGTTATGTAGGACAGAAATTGAAAATCTTGTATAAGAGATTGTGAAAATATCTTTTAAATTTTGTCCACTTTTGAGCTTGGATTTACACTGAAATAGAAATAAATGTTTCCAAATAATTTTGTTCAAATACTGATATATTCCTATGAATGTAAAGAGTTTAACTTTTTCACATCTCATGAACAGACATCCAGAAATAACTTTTCTAGGCATATTAGAGTTATTAATGTTCTGAGTGGATTATTTAATTGATCTTTTCGTGGGTATATATCTATCGATGAAATTTAATGATCGTACCTGACACTTAAGGTTATAATGTTTTGAACCGATAATATAATATTTGATTGAATACATTATAGAAATTACTGAATAAGCACTAGCCTCACTGTTCCTATGAACATTTTCTTGTCAAATTATAATAATGTCAGTGAATTTGTAGTTTACAATCATAATACTAAGGAGTTTTCATCGTCATTATTTGATGTAATTGAAGATTAAAATTTAAAAAATACCCCATTATTGCATGTTGATAATGATTTATAAAACAATATCATTTGAAGTAAATAAGATACTGTCAATAGGACATACAGTATCTCAGATTACTTCAACTAGTTAACATTGATTAGTTATTCATCTTTCATTCTAATTAAATATTGAAAACACATTAATGGTTGATTCGTTAAGTAAACATGGTTGAAGCTCTATGTTTTCAATAAGGAGGCAAATGTTTATTGAAATTAAACTGAAAACAAATGTCATACCCACTTTGAATTACACTGATTAATAAATAAAATGTAAATATAATTTAACATTAAAATGACATTTATCTCGTTATGATGAAGTTAGATGAGAAATGTCAACTACATGTTTAACTAACATTCATGTTTATTTGTACAAAAACGACCCATGCATAAAATCTGAGTTCCGTTTGTGAAAGTGTTTACGGTTTAAATTTTACGATTGAGATTAGTTTTACTCTTATGATCTATCAAATTCCAAAACAAAATTATTCTTATTTAATATCAGTCTACGTATGTTATAGTTTACTTAAAATCACAGACTGGCCTTGTAACAGCCGTAATTCATGACAATGAAAGCATATCTGGAATGCCTTAAATAAAAGTTGTTTCCATAATGATGTATTAACACATGTTGATAATGATTATATACATCGAATCAGACTCGATATTCTAACCCATTCCAAGAAGAAATCAATCAATAACTTGCCCGAAACGTTAATGGAATAAAATAGACAACTTGATTACGAAATGGCTGAAGACAAAGAAACTTATAATGATAACCAAATAAAATCCAGGTCATTAGGATGAATTGATTTAAGACTTGTAGAACAACTACGAATCTCACTTGTAAATGAAGTATGCATTGATGATATTGTTCAGAACGAAAATGAAAGCACAGAAATCGAACTATCTAAATCAGGAAACTCAACAACAACATATGGGTCATTAGGTTACATATAAATTGTACTTCTGAATTGGTACTATCGTGTTCACATTCATTCTTTAAGGTTTTTCATCATTTCTCAATTGAAACGAATTCATCAAAGGTAAATGAGATTCTCAATACGATATGGAACATTATTTAGGGACTATTTAGAAATATAATATAAATTCTATTTCCATACAAGAACTTAACAGTCACTTCATGCTACTGATGGAAACGAGATGAAATAGTCAAAAATAAGACTAATCGTTCAAAATGTCAAATTTAAAATTAGGTCAAAAATTATAGATCTGCCATATTGTATATACTTAAGATAATTTAACAGTAAATTGACTATAAACTAATCACTTGAAAAATTGACTGTACTAAAAATAAACGACATTTAAAACTAAAATGACTGACAAATTATCACTGGTCTAATATATTCACTTAAATGAAACGCATAAGATGTTCGCTTTTTTTCAATGTGTCGACCTATCTGATAATATGAAACTTAGAGGAAAAGGAAAATGAACTTCAACATAGTTTCTTTTCGACACAATTCAATCGATCTACAAATGTTAACGACTTTGTTTCATGAGGACTTGTATAGCTACATGGTAAATTATGTCACGGACTAAAGTCAACTGCAATAGTCCTAATCGAGAATGAAGGTAGAATTTTGACGTTTACTAATCTCCATTCTATAACATTCATTAATTACCAATATAAATGAAACAGCAGACTGTGTCACAGGAAGATTGCTTTCTAGTACAGAAATATTACACTTCACATATTACAATTTGTGACTGAAACTTAGAGGAATTCATTGATTTGATATGAATGAATGGACTGTGAAAACATATAGACGTTGCCGAAACAAGATCAATCTTAAGATAAAATTATCTGAAATGTAATTCATTATTATTGATTACAGATTGTTAAGAAAATTTAGCATTTCTTCCAAACTATTTATTTCAAAATGGATATTTCATTCAATGGTTTGGTCAACACAAAATAGGCTAAACTCACTGAAGTTATATTAAGCATGGCAAATTAGTCTTAAATAACTATTTAAATTTGCCTACTCTGTGTATATTTATATTTGTTCAAATATGATCCACAGAAAACATTGAACATTGAACACACTGACACATGGAGACAATGAACCTACCAAGCCAAACATCTTAAAACAATGTCATTAAAATTGGACAATTTAATGACTGACGAATATTTCAAAAAAGACCTACTTATTCTTCAAATTAGACTCTGTAATACTTCAGATTTTTTGCAAATTGTTTTCTAAACATTTTAAATTTGTTGGTTGAGAAAGCATATAATTTATGGGTTTATATAAATATTTGTTTAATGCTACAGTGCGTGTTACACCAACATTATTAAACCCCATAAACGTACCTCTTCAGACAGTAACTGCTTCGTGAAAAATTTGCCATCACCCTACTTTTGTTATCTTGTTGATAAGCCAAATTTTATTAAGCATGGTATTTCAGTTTATCGAACTGTGCTAAGATTTAATAATCGAACCAAGTTATGATACTTGTTTTTAGAAAATACTCTACTTTTATTCATAAAACTTGTTGGACCCTTTTTGTTGGCATTAAGAATGGCATTTGTTGATTCTTTGTCTTGATATGTGTAACCATTTATAAACACCAACACTGTAGTTACCAGTCACCATCTGATTCTGTTCAAGACAACCTACTCTTGTTAAGAAATGCCCGAAATAAAACAGTGTCTACTTACGTGCAAATATTTTACTTCCGACAGTCGTAAATAAAAAATGTATATTATTAATTTTGAAAGATGAAGAAAAACAGTTTTCATGTTAATTTCTAGTGTCAGTTGCTATTTTAAGCTGACACAGCTTATTCCAGCTTTCGAACAGATCAGTTTATTCATTATACTTGAATCACGTTTTGACCTTGTTGATTATTCATTTATCAACCTTGACTGTTTTTTATATGAGCGTATATGTATGTACTTCTTTTCCTACTCATCACATGTCTGTAGCTTATTTTTATAGGGCTATAATAAATAAATAACGATTGACTAAAACGTGTTGACTTGCATGCCTTCTCCCACGCGCGTCATTTCGCTTCGCTCTATCTTCTTCGCTTCATTCGCTGAGATTCTCTGATTTTCTGTTCCGACCAATGAGTATACAAAATATGTGTATTCGAGCATCCATTCTCGTACTGGACTTATTTAATTCCGTTATTTACCAACGCGAGTTAGGTTGATAGTTTTTTACAAGGATTGACGATATGTATATTGTCAATAATAGTCTAGAAACTCCACAAGCCTCCTAAATGGTAATAATAATCACTAGTGACTGATTTCAAGCGATAATCCTTAGAGTGGCACTAATAAGCCATGATAAGTAGAATCCAAAAATGTCAAAAGTAAAGTAACTACCAACCAATGACATTGAAAAGTGGTTGCTCAATGTAGCGAAAGGACTAAAATTAGCAATTCCAGTTACTGGATGATCGGTTAGTGGTCTAAGGATTCAGCGCAGGCTGTGAGATAGAATGTTCCCGGCTTCCTCCATTAGTAGGTTTTTGAATGTTGGCACTAAGACAAAGCAGCTATCCAGTGCTTCTTGGATTTCATTAGTCACCTAAGTCCAGTGAATGACGTGAAGTATAAAACTCAACAATTTCCACAAACATTCTATGTGATAGTGATGTTAACGCCATAAATAAATATTCTCTTTACGAACTGAATTGAAGATACCTCTTTTCTTTAAGTTTCTCTACAGAAAAAGATATTGTCATGTTTATTCAACAACTTCATACATATAAGTCTTTTAAAATATAGGATCAGATAATTGTACATTCTAATCAAGTCAAATGGATGATTAGTTTAACAAATCCAACTCAGTTTCTTAAAATATGCTGTCATTTATCTTAGTCAAACAATTATGTAATGTTTAGTAGTGAGATAATGTTAATAACTCAATCTGTCATTGTTATTACTATAATAACCAATATTATACAATGTTTCAGTATGTATTGGTTCAGTGTAATATATCGTTTTTGTGAATTCAATATGACTTTTTATTTGCCTTATTTTAGTTTTAAATTTTGTTAACTAACAAAATGTGTAAATGAGTTCATAAATGTTGAAAGAAGTCTTTTTATACCAATAATGTTTGTCCTCTTTCTTGTGTCAAGCTATATTAAGTTTCAGTTACAGACATGGCACAGTATTCTATCGTAAAGTTTCTACGGTATTTTCTAAAGAATAGTAATTTCTGTTATAATAATTAGTATTATAAAACTGTTCGATCTGTCTACATTATATTATGATAGTTTTCGTCAAGAATTGGTATTGCCTCAAGTATCATTAAAAAACTAGGAATGACTGATTTGCGGTTATTCAAGAGCTTACACTTAACACTTATCAGTGATCAAGCACATGAAGTTTGTTATTTCAAGTGAGCATATTAGGCGGTTGAATTTGAACCCAATATTGTGGAACTGTTATTCATTGTTTAAAGTGATGACTCGTTTGCCTCTGATATGATTGCTTTTATCCAAAATAATGTATTTCAATAAATAAAATTATTGACACATAGTACACCATTATATACATTCAATTATAAGTGTATTATTACGACTTATCAGATCACTGTCAAGCATCCACAATAAACAATCGCATTCAATCGTATGACTCATATTCACTATTCTTAGTGAAGATCAAACTCATCGAATCTTTTGATTCAAGTATACCGAACCAAATATTCTATATGAATTTGTATTCAAGTTTCTGATAAATAGTCCGTTTCTTCCATAAAATGATATAACTTAAAACTCATACATCACAGTTGATATTCAACTGTTACACTGTTATACGTTTCTTCTATATTAAGTTAATTTATTTGATTTTTGTTTTGTACTAGGTATACACTAACTGAGCTCTGTGATACTGAACTTGAATATTCCAGAGCACTGAGACAATTGTCTGATATATTAGATTCATTAAATGGCAAAATTATTTTGAACTACTCAGATAATTCAGAGAAAATTCTCGATTATCCTAAATCAATTAGTGATAATATTAAAGGTCTTCAAGATACTCTGAAAAGAATTATTCAATTTTGTGGGTGAGTTCATCACATAATTCCTATAACAATAATAATAATAAGATTATTTTAAATTTGTTATTCATTCATTCTTGTATAATAATAAATAATTGTTATTAGCTGAGTAATCACTAATGTCATGTTTGTTTGATCCTTTAGGCTGATCGCAACTTACCGATCAAATCCATAATGTTTAATAGCCATTACACCCAGAGCGAGCTAAGTTTAAATGTTAGTTGGTTAGAAGAAATAACACCATTCCCTGGACTTGAGTTCTGTTCTGGTTAGTACTCATAGTAATAGGTAAATTTAGTTAGGACCAGAATAGCTGATTGATAACCTCCTTGACAATCGCAGTAGATGACGTGGGTTCGAACAAATGGCGACTGTTTCACGGTTCTAGATCCACCTTACTGACAAGTGAAATCAATCATAAACGTAAATCTACAGCAACCCATAAACAACTTTTATTCAACTTGCATCAGAAGACAGTTCATGTGACTATAAGTCACTTCGACTAATGACTACATTCCAGCTCAGTTAATAGAACTTGATCAGTGCTAGGATCTAAACAAACATAGCATTGACCACTAAATGTATCTTGCTACTACAGGAGGTTATTTGCATCTCGAATAGACTGACAATAATGTCTTGTTCTTGTCCTCCGAAAGTTGTTGATTTGTGATACTCTGGAGCAATCAGACATAAACTAAATGAAATGTGATAGATACTGATGGACGCACATTATGGATAGAAATTTGGCTTAACTTTCTGAAAAAACGGATATAAGCTATCGATAGATAATATGGTTTAATTTTCTGAGGGAAACAGTTATATGTATATATAAATAATTGATGCATGTATTTTCAAGTCAGGTCTTTTCAACTAAATCTCAGCTTCCATACTCAATTACCTGATTGAACTCGCGTGATAGTAAGTTTGTATTATAATTTCAAACTAGTACAACTACAGAGCGTAAAAAGTCGCACTTTGACTGTTTTAACGAACGTGACTTTCCTGTTGAATTGAAATATAAATTAATGCAGTTCATAAGTGCTTTAAGGAATGCTTCAAAGTCACTTCAAGTCGTAATGTTTCCCGGTTGAATATAGTTGTATACAATAATCTAATCATATTTTTATTTTCCATATAGTTTTTAATTGATGAGTGACAGTAATGTGAAGCTAATTTATTTTACTTGAGGGAATAGACATTTTCAATAATCATTTATAAGTGTGAAACGTAAGAACATTTAAACTTATTGCTTTTTAGTACGATGTATATAAATTCACTTGATTATAGACATTTGTTACGTAACACAGCAAAAATATTAACCAATTCACAAAAATACATCACGGTTTATATGGTTTCTAGCTTCTTTTTATCATATTCCATTGTTATTTAAAAATTTATGTTTATTTTTTGTCTTTTTATTTGATTTTAGTATGTTCTTGGAAAAATTGCCTTTGTACTCATCTGATCCAGGAAAATCTGCTGAATGTTTTACAAAAACTGTGAGTTACTTAAAAAACAAAGTGTAAATTAACGTTTAGTTTGAACATGAATGGTTGCTAACAGTTGATGGATTACTGTACACTAGGAGGAAGAGGAAAACAATGTTTCTTTTTTCAAATTGAAAACCCTACATAGGAATGTAATAAACAACTTTCATTATCATTAGTTTACGATAAGATTTTATATGTTTTATATGTTTGATACAGTCAGATTTACCAATGAAGCTGAAATGAAATCTTCACGTTGAGGAGCGACTAGGAAAATGGGAAGGCACTATAAATATATTTACTAATCCATAGGAGAACTAACTTGTTACAGTTGTTTTTAATGAAGCGAAGAGAAAACGCTGACTAGATGGATATTAAATAATAATAAAGGATCTGTAAAAGAAACATTAGTGAAATATAATCTGAAGAAGAACCAACAGTAGTCAAGAATGTGACTTTTAAGTTTTACTCTAAATTCAAATCAAATATATTTCAAGCGATTCAAAACACAGAGGAAAAATAATTTTTACATCTGTAGAGTAAAAATGATAGTGTAGTGAACAAGAACACGAGTGGGGACAATCGAAAATTACAGAGTGTCTCACTAAAATCTGCGAACCATATAGTAAATCGTTAATTTGCAAAATATCAATCTATCATACCAAACTTGACTGTTCCTATTGCAAACATCCATCCATTGTCCCAGATTTCATTGTTCATGCGTTTTCATACCGATTGCATTTCTTTCCCTTTTCTCATTGAACTTCTACTGAAATACATGCTATGTCTGACCACCGTTATATACTACTTGTATGGATATAAGTAACCCACACAACACTTGTATTAAGTGTATCAGATCCTAAATTGTGTACCTTTGGATTGTATATAACAGGTAAATCAACATGTTGCCTGGACTAAACTCAGAACAAACCATAACCTGGTTCCACTAAATTTTATGAACAAACTAAACAGATAGCACCTATTGTATTTTTAAGTGTAATTTATTCGTTCATACAGCTATAAAGTCTTTTATACTGTACCTAATACCAGTACCTTATTAGAACCCTAACCCTAGGAGCAATATAAGGACTCATAAGAATTTTTTCAGTTTTTTCAAAAGTTCGAGAATATGGCCAGTCTACTTTCATTGGGATGAATGAATACTTAACCGTTTTTCCTATTTAAAGGCAGAGTAACCTTTAGAAAACTTTAATAAATTTAATAACAACGTAAAATCGGTTCATACTTTCTAATTGTATTGTTGTATTTTTCATATAGTAACCGTTTGTCACAAATGATTGATCACAGCGTGATCAGTGTCATGTGTGTCAAGTCCTTCTTAGCGCAGATCGAATTCTATCGACCAAGTTGCAATGTGGCCACTAGTTTGGGTGACTCGACATTGCGTGCACTATGCTGGGATAAGATCGTGATTGGGGGTAGTCAACAGGAAACCTTGGACCCGCGTTTCATGCTACTTGGCACTCGTCAGTAAGATGTACCTGTAATCTTGAGGGAACTGGCGCTCTCTGACCGATCTCAGTCCTACAGGAGGTCATTCGCGGCCCGGATAGCTCAGCGGTAACGTCTCTGACTGTGAAGCTGGGTGACACGGGATCGAATCCGTCAAAGAGCATCAGTTCCCTCAAGATTACAGGTACGTCTTACTGACGAGTGCCAAGTAGCACGAAACCCGGGTCCAGGACTTCCTGTCTACTACTTTTAACCACCATCTAAGTAACCATTTGTAAAAGCTGTTTTCTGATTGACTAAAAACAATATAAGTACTAGGTAAGGAATTCGAATCAAAACAATTCATTTTAATAGCATCTTTTAGTTTAAAAAATATTAGGTACATTTTGAACATTATAAATTTATTATAATCTGACTTTTTATATGGCTAAAAATAAATTTAGACGTATTTAGAGTTATACAACATAGTTTACTTCTCCAGATAATTCCTTATTATCATCTGTGAAAGACAGAACAACAGTCTTTATTCCACCGCTAACTATCATACATCTTTATTTACCATGATACGATTCAATGTCAAGTTTGACAAAACATCTATAAATCTGAAGTTAATTTAAATATTTATTACTATGGCGTAATAAACATTGAAGGAAAACTAAACTAACTCAGGAAAATTCTGGAAAATACTTCAAAAAAATTCTAAATCATCATTTAATGTAAATTTAACAATTGAATTCATGAGTTAATTTAAGTGAATTTCGACTTCGCCCCATTGCACAAGCAAGTGGCTATCAGGACTCAATAACTAAGTGGATAAGGCGATGGCGTTTGAAGTGAACGGCACTGGGTTTGGCTGCTACTTTGATCATCAACTCCGGGATGTAGGTACATCCAGCTGACGAGTCCCACATAAGACGAAACTCGCTTTTTCCTGGATTCCACTGCTAACCACTATCCATCTTTGCTTAAAAAGCTTGTGACTTAAGTCTATATCGAGGCAATCCACACGGGATGCACATATGTCAACATGAGACTGATCAACCGCAGTCCTAAATAACAATGGGAAGATACAAGCAAAACAATATCAAGGGAATCTACCTTGATTAGATACATATAAATAACGATGAAATATAATTCATTGCCATGGTACATATATTTGTGAATATACTGAGTCAATAGAGTAAATAAATCTAAGTTTGAAGATAAATGTAAATTCTTAATATAAATCGTTTAGTTTAGATTAATGAATGGGATAGGATTTATAATATTTATTGTATAGACCTAAATCTAATAATAGTAATATATAAAGTGTTTCATATAACACTATAAACTGAAAAACTGTCTCCTATTAAGACTAAACTTAGATATAAACTGTCAAATATAATGTGAGAAAACAACCTGAACAATATGAATATAGCAATTTATGTAAAACATGAGTCCTTTAATAGGAAATGAATAAAAACTGGTAATATTTTATGAACTGTAAGGAATAAATTTCCCTGTTGTTAATATTTCAGATGTTATATCTTTTACGGTTACATCTATACACTAATTAACTGACTTGTATTTGGGACCAAAGACCGGAATCCTACGATCTGTAGTGAAAACACAGAAACTTGTGATATGGATTTATTTAATCCCAAACATAAATCAAAATAATGTATGAATATACTATACTTGTTATATGATTTATTTACAGTCAAACTTGGAGTCCGATTTGTAGTTTGAAATGATTTGTACTTAACATCAATCATTCGACAGCTTACAAGGTGAACACACTGACAATGTCATACAAATCCCCATCTATAACCAACAAATATAACGGATTGACTAAGTCATATAATTACTACTTCTCAGTATGTGATTATATGTCATTGACCATTGGAAAAAATCCATTTTTATATCATTGGAATTCCAGTCAATGAAGTCATTTAATATTTGAGTTAATGAGTCGATTGAAGCTAGACCACCATGAAAAACCTGGAAGAACTGAATGAAAGTTTCATTCTAGTATAGGACTCCTCATTAGTGCACATTCACGATCCCGCCCTGCAAGATTGGAACCCAAAACCTATCTGTCTCTCGTGTGAGCGCCTGAACTCCAGACCACTGAGGTGTTATCTAACAGTGTTAAAGTCTAACTTCAACCAATCCACGAAATTGAGCCACATTTCCACCACTGTCTTCAATGAGTTACTACCTCACAACAGACCCGGCTGAACTCCACTGGTCACTATTTCTTACTAAAACTCCAGGAAATACCTCTTGAAGCCATTCGTCAGTAAGCAGATGATGATTATTATCAGAAGGAAGTTTTGTGGAAATTGTAGTCTAGTGCTTCCAGGATTTCCATGGTGGTCTAGCTTTAATTAACTCATGAACTCAACTATTAAATTACTACGACCTCCACAAAAACTTCCTTTAGGTAATTAATTCATTGCTCAGACTATTACAAGATTAAAATGACTGGACGTCTCTTAACTTCAGATTATTTGGACATATGCCTCGATGTTGTATTCATATAATAAGCGATCGTATAATTTCGGAAAGCAACTAGCAGACTATTTGAAGATTTCTTTTTTATTCTTCTTGTCATTCAACATCTATACATTCTCGCTTCTAAGTATCTCAGGATTACGAATGAGAATTTTTAACAATTGCTGTTCAGGACGAAATCTTTGTCCCATTAACTCTCTATAGCAAAATAACACCATAAATGACTGAAAATTAAAATGCCACTGAAGGTGTAAAATTTTGACAAGTTTGAAATGTTTCATCTATTAAATCATTGATTGATATGAAAAGAAAAATATATCCAAATATTAGACCACCATTGAAAACCTGGAAGCACTGGACGGCCGTTTCGTCCTATTGTGAGTCCCAGGGTAGGACAAAAAGACCGTCCAGTGATTCCAGGTTTTCAATAGTAGTCTAACACCAATCGATTCATGATCTCAATCAAAAACGTAATAATCTCCAAAACCCTATACTGATATGTAAATATACTAAAACGCCAACAGTCTATTGTACAGGCATATTCTTCGAAACTGTTGGTGAGAACTGCTTAAAAGTATTTCCCTACGTTTAGATTTCATCTACAATCTAAACAAAATCAAACTTTACAAGCATGTTAAAAATAAACATAGTACTTTAACTAAAAAATATCAAATATTGAATCATTCACCTGTAAGATATTTCCTTAAAATTATCTTTTTTAACAACACTAACAATCTGAGTAATACTATACATCATATAAAATAAACTGAATCTACTCCTTTTTAGTGTAACCACTTGTTTACCTTTACAAATTTAATTATCACTCTATTCATAAGGTTATTTCTTTAATATAGAAAGGTGTGTTTATCACTTAACTCATTGACATCTAACAGTCATTTCGTTAAAGTTCAAGCTGAAAGTTACTCAGTTAAGAATTGTGTATCTCATTTACGACCTGAATATTGAAAACCCAACCATTGATGAACATCAGCTCTTAGATGCAGGTACATCCAGCTGATAAGTTCCAAATAGAACGAATCACA